CGAGGTATCTGGGAAAGGGCAAAAGTGCGGGGAACTAAAAGCTGGAGATAGAGCAAAGCCGGGCGGGGAATTGTGGCAATTGAGGTCGAGTGGGGAGCGAAGCTGGCTGCCCTGGAGGTTCAGGTCGCCAACCTGGAGCGTGCGGAGAGGGACGCGTCAACTAGGGTGGCGACCTTTGAGGCAGCTGTTCGCATCCAGGAGTCTCAACAAGAGTCGGAGGGTGAGGCTGCGGCCCTTAGGGAGGCGAGGCTTGAGGAGCGAATAGGCGAGTTTGATCAGGAGGTCCAGGATTTGTCGGATCGGCTTGCTGTTTTGGAGGAAGAGAACCAGTGCCTGAGGGCCTTGGCTGGACCGGCTCATGCCGGCGTTTCCCCCCAGACTCATGATATTTGGGTCTATGCCGAAGCCCAGCTTGACATTTATAAGAACCTGTTGGAGGAGGGCGCTGTGTCTGAGGAGGCTGTTGAGGTGGCACGCAAAAAAGCCTGCGAAGCAAGAGCCAGCTGCGGATATGACGTGGGGACGCCCGAGATCGATGATGGTACCCGTGGTGGCGATGATGATGGCCTTGATGGAGGTGAGGATGGCGACGCCGGTGCTGGCGCCGAGTGAGACGCCGAAAAATAATTCTGTCCTATGTTGATCTTTCCTTTGGTTACGCCGATGGGCGTTTGTTTGTTTGCTGTTTCCTCTTTTTTTTAATTATTTGACTCTTCGGCCGGCCTGAACCGGATGTAAGCGGCGTTGGCCCGCGTTCTCGGTTCCATTAATAAAGGATCCTTTTTTCGCTATTTACTTTGTGATGGCGTACTCTTTATCGATTTGCGATTCGGTTGTGGGCAGTAGGTGGTTGTTTTGGCCCGAGTGAGATCGAGTTATAATTCTCTGATGGCGAAGGCACTTAGCCGGAGTTCCGGTTCGAGCGAGGTCGAACTATACTACTTTGGTGGCGAAGGTGCTTAGCCTGAGTCCCAGTTCGAGCGAGGTCGAACGGTACTATTTCGATGGCGAAGGCACTTAGCCTTTGTCCCAGTTCGAGCGAGGTCGAACTGTACTGTCGATGGAGAAGGCATTTAGCCTGAGTCCCAATTCGAGCGAGGTCGGACTGTACTGTTTTGGTGGCGAAGGCGCTTAGCCAGAGTCCCAGTTCGAGCGAGGTCGAACTGTACTGTCGATGGCGAAGGCATTTAGTCTGAACCAGTTCGAGCGAGGTCGATCTGTACTGTCGATGGCGAGGGCATTTAGCCCGATCCAGTTCGAGCGAGGTCGAACGGTACTGTCGATGGCGAAGGCATTTAGCCTGAGTCCCAGTTCGATCGAGGTCGGACTGCACTGTTGATGGCGAAGGCATTTAGCCTGAGTCCCAGTTCGAGCGAGATCGAACGGTACTATTTCGATGGTGAAGGCACTTAGCCTGAGTCCCAATTCGAGCGAGGTCGAACTGTACTGTTGATGGCGAAGGCACTTAGCCTGAGTCCCAGTTCGAGCGAGGTCTAACGGTACTATTTTGATGGCGAAGGCACTTAACCTGAGTCCCAGTTCGAGCGAGGTCGAACTGTACTGTCGATGGCGAAGGCACTTAGCCTGAGTCCCAGTTCGAGCGAGGTCGAACTGTACTGTTGATGGCGAAGGCACTTAGCCTGAGTCCCAGTTCGATCGAGGTCGGACTGCACTGTTGATGGCGAAGGCGCGGCCTAAGTCCCAGTTCGAGCGAGGTCGAACTGTACTGTCGATGGCGAAGGCACTTAGCCTGAGTCCCAGTTCGAGCGAGGTCGAACTGTACTGTTGATGGCGAAGGCACTTTGCCTGAGTCTCAGTTCGAGCGAGGTCGAACGGTACTATGTCGATGGCGAAGGCACTTAGCCTGAATCCCAGTTCGAGCGAGGTCGAAATGTACTGTCGATGGCGAAGTCATTTAGCTTGAGTCTCAATTCGAGCGAGGTCGAACTGTATTGTTGATGGCGAAGGCATTTAGCCTGATTCCCAGTTCGAGCGAGGTCGAACGGTACTATTTCGATGGCGAAGGCACTTAGCCTGAGTCCCAGTTCGAGCGAGGTTGAACGGTACTGTCGATGGCGAAAGCGTTTAGCCTGAATCCTAGTTCGAGCAAGGTCGAAGTGCACTGTTGATGGCGAAGGCATTTAGCCTGCATCACATGTTGTGTTCGCGTTACGGTCATCTGCTTGATCATGACATTCAAATTGTCCCAGGTTCATTTTCGATTTCTCGTTTGCGGCGCTTTTGAGTCAGTTTCCGGCCTGACGCGGCGGGGAAGATGAGTGGGAGTTATAGCGAGGGACGGCTTCTCCATCTTCTCTGTTTGGCGCGTTTTCGTTGATTCTGGTTTGAATCGAGCTATCCTCTTGATGCTTTTCCTTTGATTCGGGAAGAACTAAGAGTTCTCGCTAGGAAATCCTCACAGACGGCGCCAAATTGTTTGACTTAAAATGTTGCGCCGAACAATATTTAAGCAAATCAATCAAATGTATAAAAAGGGGTAAATCATACCCAACCATAATTAGTACCGAATTAAGAACTGAAGCAATAGGATAGCAGACATAATAGAGATGACATTCAAGAGACTTTATGGATCATGAAAATTGGCCCTGCCTCTCCTTGGAGAGGTTCAGGGAATAGTAATCCATTCTCTATCCTCCAGAACGATCCTGCCTTTTTGGGAGAGGTTCAGGGAATCCGTTTATCTCTCCTCTTCTGGGGCTTTTTCTTTTTTGGAGAAGGGATATTCTTTTCCTTTCTTGAGAAGAAGAGAGAGAGAGAGAGAGAGAGAGAGAGAGAGAGAGAGAGAGAGNTCCACGTTTGAGAGTTTCATACCCTCTGCCTCTTACGTTCTAGCTCCTTTCTTCCCGCAAGATAGATATACTCTTCAAGCATAGAGAGAACACGAATCTAACAAAAAGAAACAAACAATTTCGGAAGATTTACATGTATGAAACCTTAGACCTGAATATTTTCATATCTTAAAGTGCAAGCTGGGGAATGCATACACCATCATAAGTGAATATAGTTCCTCTTTCATTCTCCCATGCTTTTGTTTTTGATGCCAATGCCTCCACCATTGCTGTTGAACAACATTTTAATGGATTTGATCGTTATTAACATTGTTTGACAACGAGAAGGTCATCTTTCACCACTGAGATATTGTCATCTAACCTTGTTGTGAAACAAATAAGCATTAACAAGGACAAGGTATGTAAGAAGAACCTGGAATCTTATTAACCAAGGCACGAGCTTTCTCAGCACGCTTCAGAGTAAGGTGGGTGCCTCGTCCAGCATTGTAGCGGTTTTCATCCTAGACAAGAAATCAAGATAATGAATAAGCATATAAGACATACTTCATGGAACATGTCAATGCTAGTTGAAAGCAAAATCAACCCTGTTATACTCCTCAAGCCAACACTCCTCCTCACATGCAGCAATCCATTTCTCGACTTTGTCTAGAATGTCTTTTCTGCTAAAAGCTTCCTCTTTAGCTTGAGCTATTTGGAGCTCAATTTGCTCAAGGACAGAAGCAGCATTGACAGCTCCTTTTCAGAGATATGAACAAAGAAGAGCATAAAAATTAATCTCATAACAAGGACATAGTAAACAATTGGGTTTCTTTTTTATACTTGAGCACAACTTAAATACCAGATTCAATAGCCTCAATGGCTATACTCATTGCGCTGTCTGAATCAGCAACAATATGTGTTTTCCTATAGATCTCCTCTAGTTCTGACCTCTTCTTCAAAACAAGCTCCTTCAATTTGCTTGCTTTCAGTTCTTCCAAACGGGACACTTCTCCCTCAACCTTGATAGTTAAGGGGACATTATTATCAGGCCCGAAGTACAATTTCAAAGTCAAGCAGAAGAAGCACCAGCAGCATTGGAAACTAACAGTTACAATAATTTCAAAGATTCTATAACTTACATGAGCAATGAATTCCACAGACAACATGTCAGGCTCTGTTATCTCATGCTCTTTGGCAGCTATCTTACAAGTAACATTCTGAAATATCTTTTGTTCTTCAATGGGTGTATCCATCAAATTCCATAGTTCCAACATGGATGTAGTAAGATCTTGTAGCTGCAAAAACCAGAAGGTCATCAATGTCTACAGAGTGAAACAAAATGGCAAGCAACACAAGAATAATTTACTCATCTGCATACCTGCTGCATCCTTTGTAACTTAACTTCTTGTAGTCTTTGTATTGCAGCTGCTAAATTTTGTATGGTATCATTACTAATGTTCTTAATTTCTTCTGATTCGCCTAGACTTGGATCCACCTCACTTATAGTATGTTTGAAATCCATGCCAAGAACCGAGCATAGTGAGTTCAAAGTACCTAGGTGATCCAGAACCTGCTTCAAGCGTTCACTCTGCCAAAAAAGAGTAATAGTTTAAGCCAAAGGGCAGGGACAGAGAACAATTGGCCTTGGTGCTGTAGAGCAGCTGTTAACCTTTTCTTTTTGAAGTGAATGCAGTTCTGTATGCAATTCTTCGAGCTTTCGTAATGATAAATCACTTTCATCCACAACCATGCTTGTAGAAGTAAACCTAAAGATTTCATTCTTAATCTTATGTATCTGCTCCGCAACTTCAATGAATTGATTCTTTCTGTCAGATTTCCTCTTCTGCATCTCCTCTAGTGCTGGAACAATGGCTCTAAGTTCCATCTTCAAACCTCCTTTGTTCTGATCAGACTGAATAAAAGAGATTCATTATAAAATCTCCATACCTGATCTTGTGAAAGGAGGAAAAAAACATGTAAACCTTACTCTAAATCAATATATAGGGTATCCATTTTACAAATTTTTTCCCTAGAATATAAGAGGAGCCTGGAGGCTGCGCTTCATCTTAGTACTGTTGCAAGAATAAAACGAACCTGCACTAGCTTGGTATAATTTAATTTGGTATTTACAAATCAGGCAACTGCGATATGGCCATTTCATACAACAAGCCCACATATTGAAACTGTAAAGGTAATTAATTGGCTATGCCATTCCTAACCTGCTTAATGTGCACGGGGCGCTCCCCCATAGCAGAACAGATAGCTGCAAGCTCCGCTTCTGAATCAGCAATAGCCTGCCTTAGCTGAGCCCTGCTCCTGTTAGCTTGATCTACTTTTCTTCTATACACTTCCAAGCATTCTCGTTCAATCTCAAATAGCATTTTGTCCCTCTCAGTATCACACTCCCCAACTTCATCCCATATAATCTTTTAAAAAAAAGATGGAAAAAGGAGCAAGAACTTCCATCACGAAATGATCAAGAAGATAATAAATATGTAAAGAGTAAATAAATTACGAATATGTTAGTAGGCAATATATCCATAAAAATACTACCTGCAGTTCATGCAGCAACAACCCACATGTTGTTTCCATTTGCTGAAGCGGATCATTTTGAGGAGTTGACATCTCGGAGATATTTCAACTGCCAATTAAGAATAATTCTTACAATAGTATATCCGAATAAATGTTGTATAATCTTAAATCAGAGCTAGCGGTTTCACTAATCATCAACCGTAAGGTCGGTCATAAACAGTAAAAATTATTCTGATAAATAAGCAATCAAGAAAGTAACAAACTTTTAATGTCCTTCTGACGTCTATGCTTAAAAAATTGAGCAGTCCTAGTGCCCCACCGTTTTGCACCTAACATACAAATTCCACAAATTCAACTTTCCTAAATAAAGAATCCTCTTAAGACCCCACCTTCAATTCTCATACCCACAATTAACAGTTCAAATTTTAAGCTATAATCAACTCTATAGTCTAATCATCTGTAGAATTCTTAAGTCCTAGGATACAAATATTTTCTTTTTTAAATTTTATGACAGTAGTGTCTATGCCAGTTTGCAAGCACTTCGGCTACTCCACTGGGTAACTTCTAACTTAAACCAACAGAGGTACCTGGTAACTCTGCTCCAAAGCTTAGGCGGATGGAAAGAAATCACCTAGTATTTTTTCTCCGTAGGGGATTTGAAACCGAGACTTCATGGTTCACCTTCCACTTTGTTGGCTGCTAGGCCACGCCCTTGGGTGCTGCTAGGATATCAAATTTCTATTTTCTAACTTATTACACCTTAATTAAGTGCTCACTTGCACAAACTTGGATTAGATTAAAAGGGGTATTATAAGTGATTTCAAATGCTTAGATTTGAGATTGTCAAAATTTCAAACTAGCCGTTCGGATAATCAGAAGATATTTCAAAAGACTTGAAATTTACGAATTTCATCCCAAGTACCGAAAGCTCGTTAAAAATAATAGCATTACAATTTTTATCCTTTTCTTAATTGAAAATGCATATTAGCAACACATTTAACAAATAAAAAGTGCGTATAAACTGCTGCTCAATCGAAAATGATTGAATAACAAAACTCAGAAAGAGGATAACTTACGACTGTATATTTGGGCGGAGAAAGAGAAATTCCGAGGAGTTAGCACTACAGCAGCGAGAGATGGAAAGGAGAGAAGAGAGGTCAGCTTGTCCCAGCAAATAATTTGAAATTTGAAATATGGGGGTTTCCTGATTTGGCGTCCATTATATTAAAAGTGAAATAAATAACAAAGGATATTGTGGATCTGGGCTTGTGTCAGAAATCCACAAGTCCAAAATGCTTCCCATGCTATAGTCCTTGGAGCTGGGCCGACCCGAGCCCAATTGAATTTTTACACTACTGAGCTGACTTAGAGGGTGTTTGGCTAAGCTTAAACCAACTTATAAGCATTTTTCAGTTTATTTACGCATTTGGTAAAGTTAAAAATGTTTATAAGTCAAGTGCTTATACGTCAAAAATAAGTCAAAAGTCATAAGCTGGTCCGCCCCAGCTTATAAGCACTTTAAGTTTGACCAAAATTTTTACTATTTTATCCCTAAAATATTCCTTTTTAGAACAAAACTTCTACATCGATACTCACTGCCTCCTTATTTTTTCAACCGAAACCCCCCGCCTCTTCAAGTCTGCAATTTTCATTCACTATTTGAGGTAAGCAAATTCTCTATTCCTTTGCATATTTGTATCTATGTGATTTTGTATAATCTTTGAACTGTATGTAATAAACGAGGACATATCAAATTTTTGTGTATTGTTTTTTAAGTGTCGTGGTGATGAAGACAGTATTTGTTTCTCTTTAAATATTTTGTCCTATTTAGGTTTATTTTTTTTACTGAAAAACTTTTGCCAATTTATTAATTATTATAACTTATGATTATATTCTTATCATAAAATAAATTATATTTATCACAAAAATTATCTTATTTAATCACGGTTGTATTTAAAATAAAATGACAAATAAAATATTTTGTATTTGAATCGCTCTGGAATCTAAAATTTTGAAGAAATTACGCTCTTACAAGCGTAAACAGTTCTAAGGTTATTTAAATCGTTTTAACAGAAAAAAGAGTTTATCAACACTTTTTATCAAATACTGCAGCAGCGTACTATCAATTTCAGCACTTAAAAGTATTTTTCAGCACCTAATGCTTATCAGCTAATTCAAACGGGCTCTTAGCTTATACAGTCAAACCTCTCTTTAACAGCTATACCTATAAAAACATTTGACATTTAGATCTTATTTAACTGTTATAAATAAAAAATAATTTAAAGCTCAAATTTTTCAAAATTTTTATATTATAAGAGATAATAATGATGATGGATATTGCTGTAAAAAGTAAAAAAAATTGTTTGTTATTAACATAAAAATGTTTTCAAAGAAACTTGCTTGTTATTTTAAAAAATTGTTATAGAGATTGGTTGTTATACAGAAATCTGACTATATGACCCAAGTTGCAATCAAACCGAGCCTTAGCCATTTTTTTTTGGTTCAAAAGTGAAACTAGCTCAAACTGAAAATTAGGAAATAAAAGTAAAAATATCAAGATTTATATGCTAAAGATAGAGTTATATTATGGAATTTTTACCTCCTATAGCAAATGTTGATACCTTATTTATTTTAAATAAATACTCTTTTAAAAAATTATATTCCATAGATACATTTTGATTTTTATAGCCAAATATCTATTTATGGTTACCTCCTACCCTTAAGCCATAAAATACTCTTTGTATTATTTTTCTCTCTCATCCTTTCATATTTTTGCCGCTTTCTTCTCCTCTTTTTCTTCCTTGTTTTTTCCTTGTACGCCACCAAAAACCTATAAGCTTTCTCCTTCTTCTTGCTTTCTACTTTAAGAAAATCAGAAAAGGCCCCAAATTCAAAAAATGGCATCTTTCGCAGAGGCACCACCGGGGAACGAAGCAGCAGGGGCAAAGATCTTCAAGACCAAGTGTGCTCCAAATTTTGAGAGGTTCGAGTCAGAATCGCGACCCTCTTGACGAGACGACATCAGGGTTGTTCTTGAACAAAGACGACGGAGTTTGGGGCTGAGCAACTTGAAAGAGTTGAGGGTTTTTGCTCGACGGCGAATTCGCCGAAAATTAGGGTTTGTTCTTGAACAAAGACGACGGAGTTTGGGGCTGAGCAACTTGATTTTTTGTTAATATATTTCAATGTATTTTCAACGTATCGTGCTGTATTTTCATGTATTTCATTGTATTCATTGTCTTTTTTTTCATTGTAATTCAATGTATCTTGTTGTATTCCATGTATTTCATTGTATTCACTATCTTTTTTCCATTGTATTTTAATGTATCCCGCTGTATTCTATGTATTTCATTGTATTCACTGTCTCGCTATATGGAATGAATGTATTCATATATTTTTTTAATTAATATAATTTATGTATTCAGATGTATTATATAATCTTTCTGAAGATTGCTATATTTTTCGGGTATTTTTCGGTTGAGAATCTTTTTATAACTGAAAATACAAATTTTGTGTGTTATAATTGAGTTTGTTGAGTTATATTAGGAGTCTATTATGTTAATTAATTCACTCTCCGTTTAAAAATAGTGTAATCCCCTGTTCACGCCGTGAATATAGTCGAATACACTCGAATACAACAACTGATTAGCTGAACTTCCCTGATTTACGCCTATTTTTGCTACTGTATTCATGAATATAGTAGCTTAAATACATCTAATACCTCTTATAACAACAGAAAACGTATCTATAATCCGTAATATAGCAAATGGTATATATAGATAGCTAATACCACTAAAAGATAGTGCTTTATGAAAATTTCTCTTATACGAAAGCGGGAGGGTCTAAAAGATGTCTTGATGGACGTAAGAGCTAAGGTCCTGTATTAGTGACTGTGCAAATTACTCCCTCCAGTCGGCTTCATCTGTAACAGCTTGTTTGTATGGTTGTTACCTATTGTATTGTTTCGTATCGTATACTCTAAATATAATTTGTTTTGATTATTAAATTTTATTATTTCGTATAGTTAAGTTCGTCGTTACGTAACGACGAAATATGCCACTTTATGTAACGATCGATTTGGTGTGGTCGTGTTGTTACTCATTACCTTGTCTTTTTCTTTCATCTCACCCTTCATTATTATTAAATAAATTTATTTTGATCATTTATCCTACTTTTTTATATAGAAATTTTAGCCCATATCATAATTTTTCTTTATACAACTGCAAGTTTATTCTTCATATTGATGGTGCGTGATATCATGAAACAACGGCAAACAATACAATTTATCCAAACATGTATTCATCAAATGATACAGTACAATACGATACATTATGAAACGATATGTAATAACCATCCAACAAAGGGTAAGAGATAAAGATAATTTAGTCAAGTATCTCTTATGTTAATGTTATTAAATAATTTTTTTTGATGAGTATACCAAGATCTTGATCGTTTGGTAGGATATATTAGGAAAATAATACATATATTAGCTTTGGTATTATTAATCCCTTGTTTGTAGTATTTTTTAACCTATGTAGTTATTAATTATACACCATATTAAGTACTATTCTTATACACAACAAATCATGGCATTAGTAATATTATAATTGTACATGGATAGCATGTACAAAGACAGAATTGCGTTTTCAAAACCTTTTCCAAATTTTTTTTAAATAATATGAAGGGTATTTTTGTAAACAAATAATTGTTTTTAAAATTATGTCATACATATTATTTTTAATATATCAAACCAAACAATCGATAAGAAATAATCTCGGCATAACTAGTCCAAACATTACTAATCCCAGAGAAAGTAAAGTATTTCAAAGTGGATACAATGAAAGCAATATTTCCAGATTTGCCCCAACGCTCTTCATGAATCAAAACTTAGCCAAATCGACATTATGTATAACATTTTGTAATTTGCATATATAAATATATTTTTAACATAGTTATTGGTTGAAAATATATATTCATAATTAGAGTTGTTAATACGGGTCGAGCCGGGTTAGCCCAGCCCACATGGGCTTTAGCAATTGACGGACTGGGCTGGGCTAGCCACTATTTTGATGGGCTTTAAATGGTCAGCTCAACCCAGCCCTATGCGGGTTGAGGGCCCCACGGGCCGACCAATCATTTTTTAAAATATAAATTTATATTTTTTTTTAAGTTCTAACCTAAAAAAAGATAAATATTTTAAAGTTAAAAAAAAAATATCTTGTTGGAAAAAGTTAGCAAAATTTAATAATTTTTATATTGTTCCAATATATCACAATAAACATTAAAAAAGTAAAAGACAAGACTATAGTCCATTCACTAAAAGTCAAAACTCAACCAAACTATTCAAGAGAACTCCTCGACGCTTATGGCATATCCAACACATCATCTTCATCAAACACATTTGAATCCGCTTGTGACAAAGTTCTCTTAACATCTTCACTTTCATCTACATCTACAGTTCATATGCAATATTAATTAGTCAAAATATTAAGAATAATTAAATTTTAAAAACTAATAATATTATTAATCTTAGACCAAAGGAATTTGGCTCTAGAGTCATTGAGAGGCCTGCCTCCAAATTTATCATTAGCAGTAAAAACATCATTGAAATCCCCTCCCACCATCCAAGGGCCTATATGATTTCTACTAATATTTTCTGGATTTCCCCACATGGCATTTCTATTAACAAATCAGTACTGGCATATATTGTACTAAAAAGCCAAAGTTTACGTATAGGGAGTACCTCAATCATTGCATGGATTTCTCGATTTCTACGGACGAAATTTTGGACAGTCACTACCTCGTGGTTGTATAGTAGCACAATTCCTTCAGCCTGGCCATCAGATGGAACCTCTATCATCTCTGTAAATCCAAAGTCATTGAGCAGTTCTACATGGCTACCCATTCTAGTTTCCAGTAAGGCTACCATGCATGGTCTATGAGTGTCGACCATTTCTCTGAAATTTCTTCTAAAACTTTCATTATTACCACCTCTTATGTTCCATATAATGATATAGTAGGTCGATTCATAGAGNCGACGCTTATGGCATATCCAACACATCATCTTCATCAAACACATTTGAATCCGCTTGTGACAAAGTTCTCTTAACATCTTCACTTTCATCTACATCTACAGTTCATATGCAATATTAATTAGTCAAAATATTAAGAATAATTAAATTTTAAAAACTAATAATATT